CCCCCCATTACACCCTTGGGCTCTGTGGGAGCCAAGCCGTCACTCTTCATATTCACTTAAATGGCCTTTTCTAGAAAGCCTGCTTTGTGCTTAATTCTGAGTCTGTTCTGCTTTGAGGGCGGTAATCTCCCGAAACCCTTCCTCAGCCTCCTCTCACGCCATCTTGAAGCCCGTGCCTCAATAGTGGCACTATTAAACCACTTTAAACACTCATGCTGAATAGCATATTTCTATGGATAGCTGTCATTATATACTGGATATAATTAATTCAGATCCTACTTCCTCTCATACAGACCACTGGGGGCAGTAATGAGCTAACAATCCACCACTGCTAATGAGCATTAGCCGACACAGCCAAGCATCCCTGATTCCCACAATACCCAGCAACACCGCCCTCTCCTCACAATGCCCTAATGATGCTGAACATTTCTCACAATCCATCTGACAATTACTTTTTTTCCCACAATGCCAAGCACAACTGGCTTTCTCCCACAATGCCAAGTGACACTGGCCTTTTTCTCACAATGTCCTAACAACACTGGCATTTTCCCATAATGCCTTAGCAACTCTGACCTTTTCCCACAATGCCAACTACACTGACCTTTTCCCATAATGCCAGGCTGCACTGGCTCTTTCTTATAATGCCCTGGAAACCCTGACCTTTGTCACCACGATTCCCTAACAATACTGACCTATTCCCACAAAGCCAAGAAGCACTGGCTTTTCCCACAATGCCACAGTGTTGCCTGGCTGCCTTGTGAGTAAGTGAGCAGGTACACCTTTTCCCCTCTCTGCTGTGTTCACATTAAAACCAGCAGCTGGGACACTGACTGCTGCGTCATGTGAGGTTCCTTACTGCGACGCCCCTGGTACTCTATCACCCGTCCAACACTTAGATGGGGCTGCTTCTGTGTGAGGTGACGCAACGTCTGATTGGTGGATATTCTGCCAGATGTAAGTGAAGGATTTACTTTGCTATGGCTGAGTGAGTTATTAAGGGAGGTCTGTGGATGGAGTACAGCATGCAGAGGCCACATAGTAAATAGAGGGTGTTGAGTACACAGGGTGAGTATACAGAATACTCCGAGTACAGAGAATACCCAGAGAATAGAGAGCGTGGAGTATAGCATATAGAATACAGTGCACAAAAGCATATTAACAGGAAGAAGCAGGGCTGCAGTCACTGACACACACGCACACATACACAAACATCCACAGTGTGTCTGTGTCTCGCAGGGACGTGCGTGAGGACTGAAGACAGGTGGATCCAGGCCAGATGAAGGACCCTGTCTCCCACCGCAGGGGTACAAGGTGGCCTCCAGGAATTACGATCTAATTAATCAGTGTGGCACAGAGGCCGCCGTGTGAAACCTCATCAGAAATCGGTTAGCATGCTGTTATTACAACAAAAGGAGGAATAGAAGAGAATGACTGTGAAATGTGAGGGAGGTCAGGCCAGCCGCTCCCCCCCGGCCACATCTGCGGGGGCGGGAAGCACGATGAAAGAAATGGCATGTAGGAGCCCACAGACACAGGGAATCAGCCAAACCTCCTGTACACAAGCAGCTGGATTTACCCATGATGCTTTGTGCCTATGGTGTGATTTCAGGATCTGCTTGTCACCTCAGTCGACCACATGCTGCCCCCTTTACACCTCTACCTGGGTGTAAATGTAACCCAGACACGCTGATGCTACATTTGTGTGACTGATGTCACGCTTTTGATGAGGAACCTAACCCCAACTCTCTTTGGATCATTTGGACTCAGTTATGATACATTCCAGCACTTTAATATACATTTTTATGTGTGGAGTTCCTAGCATTCATACGGCTATAACTGATTTCAGTCTGCTTATTTAATGAATGGAAGGTACTGTTTGTCTGTCCGCTAAAATGAAATGCTTCATTTTCAAATGTTACATTTCACTGCAGACAGGTGTTTCTCTCTTTTGATACAATGTTCCTTTGAAGCTGGTTTTGAAAGTTTCATTTTATAGATCTCGGTTGTCATTTCATGTGAAGAGCAAACAATAAAATCTCTCCATCGCTGTTTTGTGTCCCCCCCCCCCCCCCTGCATGAGAGAAAACCACCATCTGTCTCTTTTTATCCTTAAACGGAAGGTGTTTCCTACAGCCTCTCTGAATAATGCAACGGTCCTGTGATGAGTTCTTCTGACCACTCCGGGATGTTCAGCCCCACCTTGTGTCTTAGTTTGGGGGCTTTTGGGTGCCCGTTGGGGGCTGGGGGCTTTTAACATGAGTCTATATTCCGCCCCCCCCTCCCTGTAGAGGAACTCATGACGGACTCACACGCCAAACCAGCAAGGATCGAGTGAGCATGTTAGTAATTTGTCAGTGAGCTGTAAGACCCTGTCCCAAGATCCCAAGGCTGGCGTCAGCAGCCGGACCTGAACGCACGTGTTCCATTTCTGACAGCTCCATTAATGTGGTATGAATGTGCAGGAGGAGAGTCTGACACCTTCTCCTTCCTCCAGAGCTTAGATTAGGAGGTTTTTGGCAGGGTGGAGCCCAGATGCTTGGAGAGGGGGTGGGACACGCACAGCAACCCTGGCTCTCAGTATAGCAGGGCTAAAAAGACCTCCAGGATGTGCCCTAGATCTCCTCCTCCACAACTGGGATGTCCAGCAGAACCTCGGCAGCTCAGATTACCCTGCACCCACCCCCGCAGCAGACGGGATGCTGAAAGAGATCCAGTAGGCCATCAACTTGTCATTCATTCCTGCTCATGCCATTACCATGACAACAGAGGCAATGGATGACTTGGGTTTGACTGTGGGAGGCCATCGTGGTTCCTGATACCACATCTGGATTTCTGGCACAGCGCTCACTGTTTAGGTAGAGGGAGCAAGTAAGTATGCAGGGCATCACAGGAGCGAAGAGGGCTGTGGGGTGTCACAAGAGCAAGTTTCAGGAGCACGGAGGCGTGTGGCGCGTCACAGGAGAGAGGAGGCGTGTGGGGTGTCACAGGAGAGAGGAGGCATGCAGGGTGTCACAGGAGTGAATCACAGGAGTGTGGAGGCATGTCAGGCTTCACTGGAGCAAGGAGGCATCCAGGGCGTTACAGGAGTGAGGAGGCATGCGGGGTGTTATAGGAGCGAGTCACAGAAGTGAGGAGGAGTGCGAGGTGTCACAGGAGTGAGGAGGCGTGCAAGTTGTCACAGGAGTGAGGAGGCGTGCGAGGTGTCACAGGAGCGAGGAGGCTTGCAAGTTGTCACAGGAGCGAGGAGGCGTGCAAGGTGTCACAGGAGCGAGGAGGCGTGCGAGGTATCACAGGAGCGAGTCAGAGGAGTGAGGAGGCGTGTGAGGTGTCACAGGAGCGAGGAGGCGTGCGAGGTGTCACAGGAGCGAGTCAGAGGAGTGAGGAGGCGTGTGAGGTGTCACAGGAGCGAGGAGGCGTGC